AACTCCTCCCCCGCGCCTCCAGCGCCACCCCCGCCCGCCGCCCGCCGCCCGCCCGCGCCGGCTGCCGCTGCCTTCCCGCCGGGGCTTATGCCCGGGTCTTCTCCTCCTCCTCCTCGCCTCCCCCGCCCCCGCCCGCCGCTCTGCCCGCCATTCGGTTTCGCCTCCCGGACTCCAAACTTGCGGGCACCGTCCTCCTCGCCGAGGAAGGCGCCCGGCGCCTCTTTCTCGCTACGGTCTCCCTCGCTCGCTCGCTCGCTCGCTCGCTTTAAGTTGGGGCGGAGGGAGAAGAGGCGGGCGGAGAGGAGGGGAGGGCAGTGGAGGAAAAGGAGGGGGAAGATGCGGATTAAAAAAAGGCAGCCCAGAACAATAACACGGGCGGGTGCGGGGGGAGGAGTGCCCAATGTCCGTCCCTCCGTCCGGGCGCGGGACCCATTCAGACGCCGCCCGCGCTCGCCATGGAGATGGTGCGGCCGTGAAAGGGAGCGCGGAGGTGCGGTCCTTCCTCTTCCTCCTCCTCCTTCTGGCGGGGGGCGGTGGCGGCTTGTCCTCCCCGGGCGCTGGCTGGCTGGCTGGCCGGCCGTCCCTCCTCGCCTCTCCTCCTCGTCTGCGTGTTGCAGTGGGCGCCGCTGCTGTGGCTGCTTTTTATCCCCCTCCCCACCCCCTTCTCCTCCCAGCCTCTCCCGCTTGCGCCCAGGCTGGACTGGCAGCTCCTCTCCCACCGCCCCCTTTAACAGCAGCCAGGCCGTTCTCCAGGCGCCGTCTCATTGGTCGGTCCAGCCCTATCAATCCAAGCCCCCCCCCCCGCTCAGACGAGCTAATAGCCACTTGCGCGTCCCCTGCTCCTCCCCGCCTTCTCCCCTCCCTCCCCTCTGCGCCCACCCCAGGCGGCGGCGGCGGCGGCGGCGGCAGCGCCCCAGTCCCGTGGGCACCCCCGCACTTCCTCCTGGCCGAGGCGACAGAGGGGCAGCCTCTGGTTCGGAGGGCAGAGAAGAACAAGCGGGGGGATGGAGGGGTGGAGACCGAGGGTCCCGCTCGCCGCGCCCTCCAGTTTATTCCTCTGGTGCTTCTCCTGCGGGAGAAGCAAAAGAAAAGAGAACCCCAAGGAGCTGCTAGTCGGAGCCTTTGGGGTGGGAAGGGAGACGGAGAGTAAATCGATCGGAACCCTGTTTTCTTGTTGCTTGCCTTTGGGTTTTGGTTTTCCATGGAAAGAAGTTTGGAGAGTGTCAAGAAAAGGGAAATCAAAGCAAACAAAACAGCTGCTGGGATGGAAAGTGTTTGAGCGAGCGAGATTCCCAGGAAAGGTGCAATATAGAGCTCCTAAAAATGAGAATTTATCGCCCTCCCGCAAAGATGCCAAAAGGATATGGATGCACTGAGCGGCTGCCGACACGGGTGTAAATAGAGATGTCTCGGCTGGTGTAAAAGAAAAGAATGCGCTGGTGGGTGGTGGTTAGGAGAGGGGACGGAGCGAACTGCATAACGGGGAGGAGATGCTTAAAAACATCCAGCGGTTGCAACCCTTCGCAGATGTACTGGTGTTTATCTGGGTGGAACTTACCGCAAATCGTTGCGCATAAAAATGTGCGCACCAGACACGCAGATTCACTGTTGTACGGAAAATATAGACTATGTACTCCTTTACATAGGGAGAGGGGTGCTGCATGAGCTGGATTTGAAGTGGGCAAAAATAGTCCCTTAATACTGCAATCCTATGCACATTTGTTCAACAGAGACCATAGAATGGTATTCATTAAAGTTTTGTTTTTGCTGTTGTTGTTTTTTTGAGCAAAAGTGATAGGGGCCTTTTTCTGCCTTGTAGGAACACAAACGATCCTGTGCCAACCTGAGAAAGAAAACTAGGAAAACAGCTTGGAACGGGGAATGTTGTTGGCTTGGGGTTCTTTATTTTCCAAAGACCATATTGGCAGGAGGACAAAGCCCTGTTCTTATGCTTTCTCCTTTTATATTCTCTTGTACCCAACACAGGCCCGTTTCTAAACGTATTTTGCATTGGGAAGGAAGGAAGGCAAAGAAGAAGGGAAATAGTGGATAATGAATGCATCGTACAAGCATACAAATATCAGACAAGCTGACAGACATACAGAGGCATAAAGGAGCAAAATGATTACCAGGGATTTTCTTCCTAGGCTTGTTTTAATTACGCTCCCATTTTGGCGCCAAAAGACATTTTAGTTCAATAAAAATGCTGCACTGAGATGGCGTGCGATCGCGCCAAGTTAGCGATCTTCCTCGCTGGAGCAGATCTCAGCTTAAGTGTAGGTTCTGATGGCTGGATAGGCGAGTCGGTGGCTCACCCAGAGCCAGCTCTTCCCAGGACAAGCTGCTACCTCCCGCCTTACGCGAGAGGAGGCATCGCACAGCTCCCTCGCCTCTCTCCGAGGACAGCCGCGAGTTCGTCCACCCCACCTCTCGCCACCACGCTGGCCAGCCTGCTAGCCGCCTTTCCCGGTCGTCCTGGTCAGGATTGCTTTGCCAGCGCTCGCCGCTTCCCTTGCCAGCTGGCGGGATCGAAGGGCGCCCCCCCCCCCATCCCTTTATTGACCTGGCCAGCCTGCATTGCAGAGGCAATGGCCAATTTCTCTGGACCGGTCTTTCGCTCCCTTTCCGGAAGACCCCAGAGAGGCAGAGGCAGGAGCAGCAGCCTGCAGTCGCGCCTGCTGTGGCCTCGCCGGCGTCCCCTCGCCTTCAGGGGCTCTGAACCATCCTGCGAGCGCGATGCGGTTGCGCGGTTCCTCCGACTCGGAGCACCGCCGCCGGGAGAGAAGTGCCACTGACTGCAGTGGAGCTGGTTCCAGGTTCTGTGTTAAAACTCTGCCTTGCTGTGTTTTTTCACAGAAGGGGGGGGCGCACAAACATACCCCACCCCCGACCGTGGATAAAACGGTGTTCAGTGCAGTCACAGGGCTCGCCCACCCTTCGCCGCTCTTCCCTTCCTTTCAGCCTCTCTCGCCGCCCCGCGGCTTTGGCAACAGGTTCAGGGCACTTTCTGTAAGGTGAAATCGCTCGTTCTGGCCAGAGACCCCGCCGCCTGAGCTCTTTGGTTTTCTTTCAAACTTCCAGTTTCTCCCTCCCTGCAGGAAATAGAGGGGCTGACCCAAGTTCAAAGCCAGATCTCCGGCCCATCCTATAGGTGCTTTATTTCTCTCCCAACCGCATACCCTTCTTTCTCCCCCCCCCCCCGCCCCATGTCACGGGGGTGAAGAGGAAAAGGAAAGGAAGGGGTGGGGGAGAAGAGCCAAGAAAGAAACCTGCAGTCTCTTCCATGGACCGTTGGCCGGTGCGCAGCCTCTAAAGCCCAGTCTTTGTCAGGCGAGAAAACGGACAGCGACCAAAACCTCTCCGAAAAGTAAGTTAGGAAAGCCAAGGGGAAAGGACGGTGTTCCTCGCAGCCTCAACAGGTCTCTCGAGCATCCCCCTCCCCAGCCCACCGCACCCCGCCCTGCACCCTGCCAGATCTACGTGCTCAGCAGCCGTGGCTCGTCCGTTTCCTCCTTTCTCTTTTGCAGGCCGGGAAAGGAAGACCGAAAGGTGGCTTTGCTCCGTTGCGCTTGCTATCTTCGTACTTTCCCGGGATCTGCGGCTTCTGGGCCCCCGTCCTTCCCCAAATGTCACCCGAGCGCGCGCGCGCGCGTGTTGGCGGGAGGGCGCCGAACCCCACAAGATCCTTTCATCCGCCTCTCGGGCCGTGGCGCGGCTGCCTGGACCCTGGCCAGGGCAAAGGATGGGCCCTGGATTCTGCACGTGGAAATGTCTAGTCTGCGTTTCGGTCCGTGAGCAGGTTGCTGGGTCTAGGCGACGGTGCAAGGCGTGCATGTGCAAAGGGGAATGGTCCGACGAGCTGGTTTCTTCTTTTGACTGAAACCCCACTGATTTCGCCTTGCCGGTGAGGTGCCCAGGATGGCCACTTAACCGTGCGGACCGATTCCATTGCAGGTTAACCTGGAAGGTCCCACTGTGTACAATGGAACATATTTACTAAGAGACACACCTCAGGTTGCAGCCTGAATGGGAGATATGTTCCCATGGAGTCCATAGGATTTAATTGCAAGTAAGTAGGTACAGCTCAGCCAAAGGTAAAGCATTTGAAAACCGCACTCCTAGCATTTCTACTTGGCAGCTGATTCCCAAGAAATCAGAGACTTGCTACCTAGCCAACATGCATGGGATGAGGCTCTCCCAGCCTTTCACTACAAATTGAATATGTTTCCCATCGAAAATGCACATTTTGTAAAAGTGTTTGCTTTCAGCACCAAATTCAGTATGGGAAGGGACTGGATGCTGTACTGAGACCGTATGCTGTGTTTCCCTCTCCCTGACAGCGGTGCGGTTTGATTCCCGAACATTTCTGTTATTTTGTGTCTGTGTGTGTGTGTGTGGGGGGGGGGAGTGTTTTGCAGTTGAAAGAGGGAGAAAAATTGAGGGAGGGGGAAGAGGAGGGCGCATCTTTCCGGTGAGGCAAACTATTGCAGAAGTTCAGAGTGTGGAGACTTGGCCGCCGATCACCGAGCAGAGGCCGTGGGGGAGGGCGGCCTGCAGCTCTTTCCTCTGCGACCTCGCTGTTGTCTGTGTTACAGACACCCATAAATTCAACAGG